TCCCTTCCTCAGAGCTGTAGCTGTAGCTATGAGGGGAAGGGATTTTGTTTCCCGAAACACGTTTCGTCATCGACGTCCTCCATTCGCTCCGTGAGGACGTCGATGACGAAACGCGTAGGGCAGGGCTTGATTGATGTGACGTCATTACGTTTCCCAGCGATCTACTGCGCATGTGCCGAGTGGCTGGGTTCGTTTTCACTGTGATTCCTATATGCTGTTAACGCTGGTGTCGGCTGGGACACCCTTTGAGATAAGTGCAATGAGTGCATAATAAATGAAGCTGTTTTTTAACAATACTGCACCATGAAGTTTTTTTATTTCTTCCGAGTGTCTGGTATTACCCCTTTTGGATACGATTAAAGTGATCTCTTGGAGAAGTGGATTTCCTTAGTGGTATTTAATTATAGAGCATTGCTTCATTGAAATTGGTCTGCTTGGAGCTGGGTTCTGCAGAATATTACTCCCTGAAGACACATCCATGAGTGGTTCATTACTCTGCTAATACCATTGCCCCCAGAGCAATATATGCTTCAGTTTTTTTATAGCTCTGGTGAGTTTATTTAGTGCTTTTGGTGGTGGATTGTCACATTTGTTTGTGCACTTTTCTTCGGATCTGTACTACACATCTTAAATTTGGACTGTTTTTGGACACTTTTTTATATAAAAAGTTTTTTTTAATTATGTACTTCTAATTATTACTCACATGGATAATATCTTTATATTTTCTTTGTTCACAGGTATATTGTAATATGTATTTACTAGCGCATATTATTTTTGTGTTATTTTTCACACTTTATTAATTTATGGTGGATTTTGCAGCTGGTATATTAGGTAGTGACCCACATTTTTCTCTTTCCATAGGCGTCATTATATTTATTTACTTATATATTAGGCATGTATAGCAGTCAATGTACTCAAATAAAAAAATGGATAGCAGCCAGGTAAAGTAGAAGAACAGACTTATAAAGTCTAAGCTTAAAAAAAATCTACATGCTATCATTGTAAGTTTATCTTTGCCTCAGAGGGGATTTTCAACAGAACTTTCTAAAAACTTCATGTTAGTAATAATGCATAGGAATTATCCTCTTCCTCAAATTCACGGTTAGCAATTTCCACCTTGCCTACTTGATTTGGAGTACTAGGGTACCACTGGGTTTTGTTAGGTGTACATTAATACTAGGCTTCACCAACCTGTGCAATCCATATTGCTGCTTTTGAATCTGGTAAACTTGGGGGCATTATATGAGGGGAACTCATTGTTACTAAACAATGACATCTTACACCCACACACACCAACTGTGAGTCTCTTTAACCGCGTCCTGCCCGCCATATAAAGAAATGACAGGCGGGCGGTGACTTTCTTGTTCTGGGAGGATGCCAGGGGGCGCGCGGCACAGCGATCGGTGGTGAGCTGTGTCCCTGGGACACAGCGGATCACCAATCACAGTAAAGAGCCGATGACACAGTCTCTAACATGTGATCAGCTGAGTTCAATCGCAGCTGATCACATGTAAATAGGAAATGCCGGTTATCGGATCTCCTTTCCCCATGCCGACAGCGTGTGAGGACAGGAGAGCTGGTAAGCAGCATTTCTCAGATGGGACAACTATACTAATAATCAGGGCACTGATCATCAGTGTCCTGATTATCAGTGCATCTCCATCAGTGCTGCCTTTCAGTGCCCATATTTGCCACCTGTCAGTGTCCATCACTGCACGTCAATGCCATATATCAGTATTCATCAGAGCTGCCTTTCAGTGCCAACTATCAATGCCAGTCAGTGACGCTTATCAGTGCTCATCAGTGCCACCTATCAGTGCCATTCAGTGCTGCCTATCAGTGCCTGTCACTGCTGCCTATCAGTGCCGCTTAACAGTTCAAATCAGTGCCACCTATCAGTGCCAGTCAGTGCCACCTATCAGTGCCCATCAGTGCCATATATGAGTGTTGCCTTTCAGTGCCCATCAGTAATGCCTGTCAATGCCCATCAGTGCCTCCTCAGCAATGCTACCTATCAGTGCCAATCAGTGCTACTTGTCAGTGCCATATATGAGTGCTGCCTTTCAGTGTCCATCAGTGATGCCTGTCAATGCCCATCAGTGCCACCTATCAGTGGCAATCAGTGCTGCTGATCAGTGTCACCTATCATTGCCGCCTATCAGTGCCCATCAGTGCCACATATTATTATTATACATGAGTTATATAGCGCCAACGGTTTGCTCAGCGCTTTACATTATAGTGGGAGACAATACAGTAACAATACAGTTCAATACAAGAGGGAATTGAGAGCCCAGTTCCTTGGAGCTTACAATCATATCAGTGCCCATCAGTGCTGTCTTTCAGTGTCCATCAATGATGCCTGTCAGTACCCATCAGTGCTGGCTATCTGTGCCTCGTCATCAGTGCCGCCTATCAGTGCCATCTATCAGTGCTATCAGTGCCGCCTATCACTGCCCATCGCTGCAGCCTCATTAGTGCACATCAGTGAAGAAGAAAAATTACTTATTTACAACATTTTATAACAGAAACTAAGAAAAAACTTTTTTTTTTCAAACTTTTCAGTCTTTTTTAGTTTGTTTAGCAAAAAATAAAAAAGCCATTGGTGATTAAATACCACCAAAAGAAAGCTCTATCTGTCTCAAAACAAATGATTAAAATTTGTTTGGGTACAGTGTTGCATGACCATGCAACTTTCATTCAAAGTGGGACAGCACTGAAAGCTGAAACTGGCCTGGGCAGGAAGGGGGTAAAAGTGCCCAGTAGGCAAATGGTTAAAAGTTAAGTTCACTTTTAGGAAAAAAAAAATTATAAATGTATTTTTTTATTTACTCAAAGCTACGTTATCCTGTATTATGATTTAACAAAAAATTATTTGCAATCCTGAATGATAAAACGGAACAGGGAAGGTCTGATGCTCCTATATGATCTGCTTTTGAAAGAGCAACTCTTGGCTCCTACGCGACCTCCCACGAGGCAAAGGGTTCGGCTCCCTATGAGAGGTGTGGGGCATAGGAACCCTTTCTCCCAGAGGGGGGGGACTGGACTTATTCAAAGCTTTTATATGCCATGATGGATAAAAGTTATCCTTAATGAGTCAGAGCTGATATTATAGCATATCTGGATGGTATAACCTTTGCCTACTCAGGAAAATGTGTGGCACAGAGGTAGACCAATAGATTCTGGTTTATATGATTACATGAATTCAATATATTATACCGTAAAGTCTTTAATTTGTTTTTTTTTCTACAAGCGTATTGGATTCCATGCTTCATTTACAAGATCTGTAATATTTGCTGATTACTCATTCTTGTGGATTGCCCAACAGTGTTTGCATGGGCTCTACTGTTTTGTACTTTACCTTTGAAACTCAATAAAAATATTGGAAATTAAAAATAATAAATGCACATATTTTTGCAGGAAAAAATTTGCATTTATTATTTTTTCATACTAGAGCAGGCATTGCATTGCACCCATGATCAGTGGATTGCAAGTGCAATGTCAAGCTTCAGCTTTCTGCCCATACCTCTGTAGAGACTTTTACTTTAAAATCTGAAGGTAGTGTGAATAGACTACGAGCATGCTGATCAGCATGTTTATAGTTCATTAAGAACAAAAAGTCCATCTGCCGTGGTGGAAGATGGGACTTGTAGTTTATACATTCACAGGTTTCCAAGATATATACATATTTTGAAAGAGGCAATATGTGAACTCTGGGTGAAAACATTTCTAAATGGAGCTCCTATTGTTTTGCATAAACACTATATTTCAGCAATATTGCATGCAGTAGCTTAGATATTTTATATAAAAAAATACATTTAAAGGTGAATGTTTCTTTTGACCTGATTGTTTTAAGTGCATTGTTATGAACTGGCTCCAAGGTTTACCCGTTTATTGACCTTAAATTTACCAAGGGAAAATGTTGTTTGTTACAGATTTTATGTGAATTAAAATCTGATTTAAAATGCTAGGCTAGTTATCCACATAATACATAATGGGCACTTTGTTTATGCTTGAATGCCAATGTTGTGGAAAACATTACAGTTTACCCAATGAGAGGAGAAGATGCTTCACTGCAGTCTAATAGATGATTTGCTATTCTTATGAAGCATTGCAAATTTAAAGAATTACAATCATAACTTTAAATTGTAATTAGAGTTGACAGTTTCATTAAACAGTGAATTAATGTTGTTGACTAAACACAGATGGAGATTAAATAAGAACACCTGAGGTTTTATATGAATCCAATAAAGCTATTGACATATTTTAAAAAGTGGTTTACAACAGAAAATTAGGCTGTTTGCTTCCTTCCCAGTGTGTTCTGTGACTAATAAGTTGTAAAAAATCAGCAACTGCAGAGAACCCAAGAATGCTACACGTCTAGATTACTCTTGCTGTTAATAGCCTTATAAAGAGTGCAAATTGAACAAACCAGCAGGTGTGTAGCAGACACAACAGACATACAGACTGGGAACAATACGCTTAAGTATACTTAAAGCCAAAAGGTTAAAGTTTTGAATCAAAGGTTTCTACTGCTTCCTGGGTTTCAGTTGGGGAGATTCAACCTCTGTATTTGTTCTGCTGACCATTATCACTGGGAGAGAAAGTGATAAGGAATCCAAAATGTTACAACAGTCACAGGAACAATAGGTAAGGGGAAATATTTCATTGGGGATAGCTATTATAGATTGAAATGTCTAAGGTAGATTTCCCCTCATTTGGGAAATATTTTCTTACAAAACCAGCAACAAAAATAATTTTATATATATATGTATATATATTGTGGGAACTCGCTTCAACGTGGTAGAGCTTTTAAATGCAAACAGCTACTCGCTTTCTTTTTCAGGGCCTTTTTAGCCCACTTTTATTTAAATGAAAGTTCCGTAACATAAGAGGTTCCCACGCAGGGGTATCCACCATCACACAAATTAAATAATACTCAGCCTTCTGGCTCTCTCAGGGATACCACTCTATATCTGTCTCCTGCAGACTCTTCCCAAATTATGGCCACTAGCACACAGCTAGTCTGGCTTCCACCTGCCTCCAAGGCAGAGACCTCCCGTCTGCCAGGCTGGAGTCCTCCTGACTCCGTTTGCCGGGGTGGAGCCCAGAACCCTGGTCCTGACTCTATGAAAAGGCCTGCACACACACTGTGCCATCAGTCTCCTGGCCATTCCCAAAACCTGGTCCCAGGATTGGAGATTTCATCCCTCCCAGATCTCTTTGAAATCTCCAGGCTCCAGATCCCAAAACAGACCTTACAAACAAAGGAGGAAAGTGAAAAGCCACTTTCCTCCGTATCAAACCTTTATCCTGGAGCCCCTCAACCTGCCTTGTTGAGAATCCAGGGTGACAGATCGCCACACTGTCACATATCCCCCCCTTTGTTTTGATCCCGTAGGGGGCAGAACACACCACTTATACCTTCTGGCACCTCTTTGCCAGCTCTCATTTACAGGGGTCCAATCTGGTCTAACCATACCTTTCCTAAAGGGGAACTCTACCCAATGATTCCTTTGGTGTCTCTCCCCAAGCCCCATTGTCACTCTGCTATGGGCTCTACTCAGACTTTCCCTATTCTTTTTCCGGGTGCATTTCCATAAACACTTTCTCTCCTGAGATCTTAACGGGGTCCCCCTGGCCTTTTTACCGACCTTTCTGCCCTTTTGCTTCAGGTGATCAGGTTTCCTAATACCTTTCTCAGTATTACTGTCCCAAGGCTGTAGGGGAACTATTTCTACTGTATTTGTACCAGGACCACCCCTCCTATTTCTGGTACCATTGGATATCAAACTGCATGACTCGTCACCACAACATTCAGTTTACCATGAACAGATATATACCAGTCAATATTACACCTCTCAATATCTTTTCCAGCATTTGTTAGGACAGTGTCTGGAGAGGGCACACACACCATAGGGCAGCCATCACCCACGTGAACCTCACAAAATGCCACTTCACCTGGTGTCATGCACTCTGCAAGCAGCTGTCCAACCATTTTAACTTTTCCTACACCACTTGGATCTGTATCCAAATCCGGTACAGATGAGCTCTCTTTTGATCTATTTTGCCAGTTTTCACATACCATTTCTCCCTGTATTTCAGGTGTCTTATCAGAACTGCTACATAAACCTCTTTTTTGCCCAATGACCCTGATTTCTTGATGCACATCCGTTTGAGCCCTGGTCAGGATCTCTGCTGTTCTCTGGTCCATGCTCGGCCCTTCCATCTCATGTGGTTTGTCCACTTTTGCAGTAAACACACCCTTCACTGACAGCTGACCCGCACCAGCCTGGACCATAGCAGCAGAAATGCTTCCCACCTGGCTGTTAGGAGGTGAAACCTTTTTTGACTTATTTTCCATTTCTCCAAAACTTCTCTCAAATACATTGACAGGTAGTCCAGCAGCATACCCTGATACAACTTTTAACACCATCAACAAATTCAGAAATAAACAACTTTGTTTCCCTTTGATCTGTACAGCCAGCCATTCGGTGCTCCACCTAGTGGTACTCCGCAGTACCAGACCATCCGACTGTGGCGGAGACACCCCAGTATACATTGGTTGTACATTCCAAAGTTCAAGCATCTCCTTTAATACTTTGGTTACAACCCAACCGCTTGACTCGAAACCTAAGACCTTCCTGACCATATTTAGGGCACTGGGAATGCTGAGAGACTCACCTGCTGAGACTTGAGAAGTTGAAATTTTTAAAGGAACCTCCTCCAAGCTGGAGATAACCACAGCCTGGTGCTCCACCAGAGCGCTGCCATGTGCTGGGCTCACTCTCAACATCTCAGACTCGGCATCCACAAGCTGCTCCTGATCATTCCCAGTGACAACATTATTTTGACACTCCATGCCAACATCACTTTTGTGGGTCACAGACAAAGTCTCTGCTGTATGCACGCCCTTATCTATAGGCCGTTCTATAGATCCTCCTGTTGGCACAGCAGAAACAGTGTCCACATTTTTTTGTATAAAAGCCTCATCTAACAACGAGATTAGCCTTTTACCCCAACTATCCCAGTCCATTGTATATGTGCTCAATTCGCCAGTGCTCCTCAGCACCGAACCATCCGCCCAAGGAGACACACAAGAATAGACGGGCTTAGTTGCAGATCCATTGCACAAATCACTCTGGATCACATCAGACTTAGGTAACACCTGTTTTCCAACTGCAGGTTGCAATACCTCACATCCACCACTTTGCTCTGGTGGTGCTTCCTGAATTACACACACATTTGCATTTTTGCCAGGCTGCATTAACCCGCTGTTCACCTGAACACTTTCAGTAATATTAGGCTGCAGCAACACACTCCTATGACAAGGTGCAGTTCCACTCTGCTCCACCAGAGTGACATCGCAGTTGTCCAGGGCAACCTCCGGCTCCAATACACGGAGACCCCTAGAGATGTCTAAGGACACCTGTGCTGTCTTACCACCAGTTGCTATGGGAAACGACCCATCTTTAATTACCGCTTTTGCACTGCAAGAGCTCAGGGTTTTCCCAACAGCAGAACATTTCACATCAACATTAGCATTTTTAGCTCTTGTGGGCTGTACTATCCCACTACCAACCTGTGACTGGCACACATTAGTGACATCACTTCCTTTTTGAGAGCCATGCACAGGTTTTACTTTAATTCCTACCTCCCCACTGTACAAGGCACTGCACAGGAAAAAGTCACTTTCAAAAGCACGTTCAGTGGCCCAACTAACTGGGGTCACTCCTACATCAGAATGGACAGTCTCATAACCAGTCCTTCTCAACATGACAGTCCCAGCCATGGTTTTATCACACACGGTCTTACCCACCACAGTTGTAGGTGTTGCCATCTTCATTTGAGTGCGTCGTCTCATAAACACATCCTCAACTGCACTTTCCTTGGCAACGTTTCCTTTGCCCCAAGGTGAAGTAACAGACGCCCTCATAGGCTCCATGGACTCTCTGACACCCCCTGCAGGCCCAACAGAAACTTCCTCCCTGTTGCCAGAGGTGGTTGTTGACATTTTAAAACCAGAATCTGGGCTTGCAGTTGTCGACATTTGCCCAATATCAGCAGTATTCCAGAGTGTAGGACAGGAAAAGATCCCATGACCCCACTGACCACATTCCAGGCAGGGTACATTTCCACTCTTATCTTTGTTGGGACACTGAGCCACATCTTCAATGCAGCTCCTCCTTCCAGGCACTACTTTTTCTCCAGTCGCCATGGGAGATTGCACTCTCCAAGCAGAACTTTGCTGGCTCTTTCCAACACGCTGTATTGGCTCCTCTTGATACCACTTGCCATGATCCTTGTGCGACATGACACCCCGTACACAGACAGCCCGACTGGCCTCCTCTGTGTTGCTATGGGCCTTCACTCTTGGTCCTGGCCTCTGGTAAGTCCCTCTCCTTGCACATAGCATACGCTTCTCTCTGCTGGACCAACTCTCAAGCCGTGACACATTCACATTTTTCACAACAGCTACTGGTTTAACTGCAGCAGTGTTGCCAGGGGCAACAACACCCCTCTCCCAGGTATGGACATCCTGCAGCTCTCTCCTTGCACTGAAGGTTGGCTTGCTTTCCTCTGTAGGTTGGTTCAATGCTGCCAGGTGCCGCTTGCACCAGTCCACAGCAGACTCACCCACATCTAAATTTCCCGGCTTGGCTGGGGCATGCGGTGTATAACCCCCTAGCCACAGGGCTCTATCTCTCGCTTCAGCAAACATCGCTTCCTTTTTCTGTTTTGACCGCCCCATCTTTGCAGTCATGCACACAGCAGTGTGTTACACAGTTCAGCAACACCATTGAACACTGTCTCTTTAAGGCAAAGTCCTTTTCACTAGCAGGTTCTCCTCACCTGCACACACAGATAGTGCAGACTTATGCACCAAACAGTTCATATAACTGATGAACTTACTTCAATCGCCGGGATCTCCAATTCTGCCCTCATCCTCCACCATATGTGGGAACTCGCTTCAACATGGTAGAGCTTTTAAACGCAAACAGCTACTCGCTTTCTTTTTCAGGGCCTTTTTAGCCCACTTTTATTTAAATGAAAGTTCCGTAACATAAGAGGTTCCCACGCAGGGGTATCCACCATCACACAAATTAAATAATACTCAGCCTTCTGGCTCTCTCAGGGATACCACTCTATATCTGTCTCCTGCAGACTCTTCCCAAATTATGGCCACTAGCACACAGCTAGTCTGGCTTCCACCTGCCTCCAAGGCAGAGACCTCCCGTCTGCCAGGCTGGAGTCCTCCTGACTCCGTTTGCCGGGGTGGAGCCCAGAACCCTGGTCCTGACTCTATGAAAAGGCCTGCACACACCTGTGCCATCAGTCTCCTGGCCATTCCCAAAACCTGGTCCCAGGATTGGAGATTTCATCCCTCCCAGATCTCTTTGAAATCTCCAGGCTCCAGATCCCAAAACAGACCTTACAAACAAAGGAGGAAAGTGAAAAGCCACTTTCCTCCGTATCAAACCTTTATCCTGGAGCCCCTCAACCTGCCTTGTTGAGAATCCAGGGTGACAAATCGCCACACTGTCACAATATATATATATATATATATATATATATATATATATATATATATATATACGGTATATATATATATATATATATGACAGTTTATGTGACAGAAGGACAGTTGCATTAGCGATTAGGTTTCAATTAAAAACCTGTTTGGTCCACAAATGGAGACCCTGGAGTCAGAAAGGGTCTTTGTTAATAGTGCTGTTGGTACATGAACTGAAGTGGACACCTTGTGGATGGGTGTCCAGGCCATCCTTTCTGTGTCAGCCTCTGCTGCAGAGGCAGCATTGAAAAGGTATTGAAGTCTGAAAGTAGAAAACACAAAAATAATAAGGAAAATTAAAGAAAAGTGAATCAACCCCTGCTTCCTTGAATGCAGCTTGAGGCCTGAGTGGCCAATTACCAGACTTCAATGCTATCAAACAGGAATGGGCGGTACAAGTGGTATTCAGTGTAATTTCTGGTGACATTGCAGAAGTGATAGGGACCAGAGGGTACCCTTGGTGTGAATACAGTGACTTTAATAAACAATATATTTAGATATTTATAAAAGGGGACTCAGCGAGTCAATAAAAAAGCAGCTATTGCACTATAAAAAGGAACCAGAGACCTTCAAAAACAGCATATAAAATTGTAAAAGTGCAGCACTATGATATCAACATAAATTATAAAGTGCTAGATATACCAATCTTCTAAAAAATGGGTATAAGATGTGATGAACAAATACATAAATAAATAAGTAATCTAAAGTCGGACTTTGGACCGATCAGATCTGAGTGTTGCTCTGCACCAAGCTATTAATATTCCAGGAACCCGGCTAACATCTGGCCTTAACCATCCCAGAATGCAGAGGAGGGATATCCAAACCAGGCTGCATATTCATCCCACCTTAAAGGGGACCTCTGGCAGATTCCAACATATTGTTACACTGAGCATTTAAAATGCGCAACTGGTGAGTGTGCATTTTTACCATATCCCGCACGTCACCGGAATATCTATATACAGTGAGGAACAGAAGTATTTGAACACCCTGCGATTTTTGCAAGTTCTCCCACTTAGAAATCATGGAGGGGTCTGAAATTCACATTGTAGGTGCATTCCCACTCCGAGAGACAGAATTAAAAAACAAATTCAGGAAATCACATTGTATGATTTTTAAACAATTTATTTTTTCTTGCACTGCTGAACATAAGTATTTGAACACCCTAAGAAACAGCAAGAATTCTGGCTCTCAAAGACCTGTTACTGTGCCTTTAAAAAGTCCACCTCTACTCCACTCATTAACCTAACTTAGTAGCACCTGTCTGAGCTCTTTAAAGACACCTGTCCACCCCACAGTCAGTCAGACGCCAACTACTACCATGGGCAAGACGAAAGAGCTGTCAAAAGACAGCAGAGACAAAATTATGGACCTCCACAAGGCTGGAAAGGGCTATGGGGTAATTGCCAAGCAGCTTGGTGAAAATAGATCAACTGTTGGAGCAATTGTTAGAAAATGGAAGAGGCTAAAGACGACTGTCAGTCTCCCTCAGACTGGGGCTCCATAGAAGATCTCACCTTGTGGGGTATCACTGATGATAAGAAAGGTGAGGAATCAGCCCAGAACTACAAGGGAGGAGCTGGTCAATGACATGAAGAGAGCTGGGACCACGGTTTTAAAGGTCACTGTCAGTAGAACATTACGCCGTCGTGGTTTCAAATCATGCATTGCACGGAAGGTTCCCCTGCTCAAGTCATCACATGTCTAGGCCCATCTGAAGTTTGCCAATGACCATCTGGATGATCCAGAGGAGGCATGGGAGAAAGTCATGTGGTCAGATGAGACCAAAGTAGAACTTTTTGGTCTAAACTTCACTCATCGTGTTTGGAGGAAAAAGAAGGATGGGTGGCATCCCAAGAACACCATCCCTACTGTGAAGCATGGGGGTGGTAACATCATGCTATGGGGTGATTTTCTGCGAAGGGGACAGGACGACTGCACTGTATTAAGGAGAGGATTAATGGGGCCATTTATTATGAGATTTTGAGCAACAACCTCCTTCCCTCAGTCAGAGTATTGAAGATGGGTCGTGGCTGGGTCTTCCAACATGACAACGACCCGAAGCACACAGCCAGGATAACCAAGGAGTGGCTCCGTAAGAAGCATATCAAGGTCCTGGAGTGGCCTAGCCAGTCTCCAGACCTAAATCCAATAGAACATCTTTGGAGGGAGCTGAAACTCCGTGTTGCTCAGCGACAGCCCCGAAGCCTGACAGATCTAGAGGCGATCTGTGTGGAGGAGTGGGCCAAAATCCCTGTTGCAGTGTGTGCAAACCTGGTCAAGAACTACAGGAAACGTTTGACCACTGTATTTGCAAACAAAGGCTTCTGTGTCAAATATTAACACTGATTTTCTCAGGTGTTCAAATACTTATGTTCAGCAGTGCAAGACAAATAAATTCTTTAAAAATCATACAATGTGATTTCCTGAATTGTTTTTTTAAATTCTGTCTCTCAGAGTGGGAATGAACCTACAATTTCAGACCCCTCCATGATTTCTAAGCGGGAAAACTTGCAAAATTGCAGGCTGTTCAAATACATCTGTTCCTCACTGTATATATCACTGGAATATTGGAATATATTACTCCACACCTCAGAATTGGATTAAATATCACGGAAGGACTATTCACACATTTTTTCTTGGGATAATTATTCATCACTTTATATATTTATTGGTTAAGAATTGGAGCAATATGTATGATTGTAATCTTATACCTGTTCACTTTAGATTACTTATTTATTTATGTATTTTTCACATCTTATACCCATTTTTTAGAACATTGGTATATCTAGCACTTTATAATTTATGTTGATATCATAGAGCTGCACTTTTACAACTTTGTAATATATTTGGACAGGATGCAATTCATTCATGTTTTTATATTTTATTTTATTTTATTCTATATTGTATTCTAGTAGACACATGGCAGCCGTTTTGTATGCTTAGGATGTATGTGCTTTAATATGCAAGCCTTGAAAAATGTGCTTACTATCAACTTGACTTTTTAAGTACGTGAGCTGGTTTCCTGTCTGTTTGTATTCCTGTGCCAACATTCATAGAGGAGTAAAAAAAGGAGAAAGAAAAATATTATTTTCTTTTGTCACATAAGAGGTAAGAAACTAGGTGAAAGACAGTACAGTCAGTCTTGCAGACTGCTGTATATCAGTGTGTCAATTTTTGTCTATAGAATATATTTTTTATGTTTATGGCATTATTTGAAAAAGTAATAATCATGAAGCTTAGCTGAGGGATATGGAATACATTTACCTCTTTATTAACAGGACCTACACTTTTACACTTAATAGCTGTGAGTGGTTATGCTAGCACCCTTTGTACATGATGAGTGAATGTGCCTGAAGTTCTATTCGTTGTCAGTTTAGCAAATCCTGTTTGAAGTTTGGCAGACCTTAATTTTCCTGCTAACTTCATTGAAGTCTATAAGAAGGTGAATATTGTTAGTTAGTCAATTTTGGCCATTTTCAGGGCAATCTATTGTCAAAAAAGGTATTGGAATATGTAACCTCTGCTGTGCAGAACATGTACCACTGGTAGAAATAAAAATATGTACCATACAAAAAAAAAAGAAGGGTCCATTTCATGTGTCTTTGAGGACACCATTGAAAATACATTAATATTTAAAAATATAGGCTGAGCGGATGCCTAAAATCTGTATGTGGTGTTACAACACAACACAATTTTCGCAAAGAGCCTCAGTGACAGAATACTCTGTGTCACAAAAGGCGGAGTTGTCCTTTCAGTGAGCACCTCACCTGCATATAAGGCCTGGGGATTGGAAAGGTGAAAATATCCATGCAAAGCCTTTCTACCTCTTCCTTCTCCCCCCTCCAACCCACCTTCACCCAGTGGTCACACTGGTTATCTTTAAAATGGGTCCAAATTGATGGCCTTTTTCAATGTTCTGCTGCATAGATGATGGACACAGAACATGCAAATACTCCTTACTTTTCAGATTGCCCAGGTCCATTACCAGTTTATAGTGGTGTAAAAACTTTTTACTGTAATTGTTGGTATTGGTAAAATCTTTTCTTTCTTTTATTTAAAGGTTTTCCAACATGCCATTTAGCTGTTCAATTAAACCAAGGACGAACAATACAAAAGATCAGAGTCTGTTTATATCCAGTTACTGCCACATAATAAAATATAATACCGCAAGGGCAATTAAAGGGTTAACAAATGGTGGACATGTTAATAATAATTACTTTTTACAGTCGGCTTAATGCTTATCTAAACCTTCCTTACAGTTGTACTCAAATACAGTCTGCCACCTCATCCTTTATTATTACTTCCTTACGGGTAAGCTCCAATTTCTGTAACTTCACAGGCTGTTTCTGCTTCTTGAGTCAGTGCCCCAACAACCTTGCTACCAACAAACTAGGGCACTTTTTTGTGTTTTGAATTATCACATCGAAACCTTTGTGATAGACTTTGTGCTGCAGTTCTTCACCAGGTAGGATTCAGGGGTGTATGATTGCCTACTGCTATTGTATAACCAGAACAACTATTCTCTTAGATTACCAAGCATGTTATGCCAGAGTGCCTAGATTAAGGAGATTCAGAATTAATGAAATGAAAAACATAACCTGAAGAAAGTGAAGATATTAGGAGTGGGAAAACAGATACAACAAATTGCAAGTTGTTAGATTCTTCTCCAACCTGCCACACATAGAACACATCAATCAGCCTCTAGACTGCCTCTCTCATAAATCTCAGAGTTGAAAGAAGATTTAAAGAACTTAGAAGACAAAAAGACATTTTTTAAAATCTCCATTGGGAGGAATTTCATTTTTGTCCCATTGCCAAATAATAGAGCCCACATGAGGAACAATCAGATTATCACTACTTATTTATTTCTTAAGGATACTAGAAGCCATTTTCTAGAAGCATTCCAAATCCATGTTCTCCTTCTGGAAAGAGCTTGTGCCTGATCACAACAGGCCAGCTATACATCTGTAAAGACTCCACTACCAGTGAGCAGAA